TATTAAAGATATCATTTATATTTTAAAATCAAATATTTAGATAGTTAAAATTCAAAAGTTGAAGATTGGCTAATAAAATAAAATAATATCCACTTAAATTCTATTAACCTTAAATAAATATTTAAAAATCTAAGTTAAAAGAATAAAAATATATAAAATTATTATTTATCAGAATATTTAATGAATTAATCCTAATTGTGCATTTGATTATCAAATCTCCACTCACTAAATCTATTTAGACATCGTTGGATGTGTTGGATTACAGGCACAGCATGGAAAAATTGCATCAAACATTGTTCCAAACATTGATGAGGTCTCAAAACCCAAATCACATAGTGTTTAAAGTAATTTGTGCGGACCACACTGTCCTTAAAGCAATGGTCATTATATTATTTGGAAGTGGTCGATAACTAGTTAAATTGAAGAATTGATTATTTTATACTCTCTTCATTTAAAAATATAAAATATTTCTAAAGAGTTGAATGTTCAAAAATGTAAAGTATTTTTAGTCTTTCGAGGTGTAATCATTGTCTTTTTTCAAAAGTGCCCCTATTGATAATGACTTTATATTTATTGTAGGGTGTTTAATAGGGTTAAATATGAAAAGATAAGATTAGTTAAAAAGTAAGTAATTAATTTATTGGAGGGCAAAATTTGATTAAAAATACCTTATATTTTTTAACAGAGGGAGTATCATCAAATGACAAAAAATGATTAACCAATCACAATTAATTTTCTCAACTTTATTTTATTAACTAGTGTTTAAGTTAATGGGGTCCATAGAGTTGAATTACTAGCTAAGTAATTAAAAGCAATGACTACTCATTTTAGTAAATTAAAAACAAAAACTTAACTAGTCACAACTAGTTTCCAAAAATTGTGTTTTTGTCACTTGCTAATTTCCTTTTAAATTGATATATGTATATATATTAGTCGGCACTGGTTAGATTTTTATTTTTGTCATTTGCTGAAATGAAGTAGACATTGCTTTAATTTAACTAGGTAACGTTTGCTTAATAGAAGTGAATGTAATAAATTGAAAAAATAAAAATAAAAATAAAAATAAAATAATTAAAGGGATAAGTAAGCATATTTATAAGAGAAGGGGTAATTTAGTTTATCAGATTGGGAATTATGATTCATGAAATTTTTAAAAGATGTAATAATTCTCGCATATATAATATATATTAATGAGTTTTATTATACTTACTACAAGGATAAAAGTGATTTAGTTTGTTTTTATTTTGATTTTTTTAATCTATTCCATTTCTTTCTTTTTTAATAACCAAACAAGATCTAGTCATTTGGCTACATTTATCCTTTAACATGAAGTGATAAAATGAATTTGAGGAAATTAATTGTCATTAAGGTTTTTTTTAAGTTCTTTGTTGAGAGCCTCAATCCAAGTACGTAGTCATTGTGGTCATTTTCCAAAAGAAAAAAAAAAGAAAAAAGGAATGTCAAATCCAGAGACTTCACAATAATTAATTCAATTCACGATTCTTTTCTTTCCCTTGTCTATTTTGGGTGGATTTTCTCTATCGCACAAAATGGGATATTTGATATTGGACAAAAAGAAAAGGAGATACTTGACTATTACTTTTAGCCGACTTAGCCAAACCACTAAATTAAATGGCACCATATATTATATGCTACTTTACTTGATAATTAATGACCATTAAATAATAGGACATTATTTGATGATTATTTAATAATAATATTTAAGTATTTTCTTTTAAGTTTAACTTTTGAACAAATACTTAATGGTTATTTAATAATAACCATCAAGTTATTACCTTGATAGTTATTTCTTTCTTTACAATACATCCCGTGTTTTTATGCGCATCAAAACCAGCCAGTTATATTTCTCCAATAATCTGTTTTAATTTCCCCCACATATATGATTTTTTCTTTTTTGGTGCTAACACAGAGATTATATACTTTATCTAGCTTTATTTATAAATTATTTTTAATATATTTTATTATAATAAAAGAAATTTAAACTTCATTGATTATGTCTTAAACCAAAAAAAAAGTTAATAAGTTTTTAATTCTACCCCCAGTAACAACAAAAATAATTATTTTAATATTTTTCTTAGCATTTAAGAGTGATGATGAATATAAAAAATAGTGAGATAGTCTTATAAATAAGATTAATATTAATTTTTTTTCTCTATCCTATAAATAAGATTAGAGAAATGAGATAATTATGCTTAACTTTTCAAGTGGTGTGCATATACCATAAGTCTTATTATCTAATGCCAAGGCTTTGTGCACCCAAACTAGCTTAACTTTTAATTTTGTGTATTCATCTACTTTTATTTGTAAATTATTTTTAACATATTTTTAATGTACACACATATACATATGAGGGGTACTTTCATCCAATCACAATAAATTTCAATTGTGTTTAAATTCCTTGACCCTACGTAGCAATTTTAGAATTGTTTGGTCTTGCAAAGCAATAAATGTTCAGCAATGGTCCAAGGTTGTAATTTTCCAAGAAAGAAAAGGTGGGGGAAAAGGAGTTATGGGAAAGGCTAAAATTAATTATAGAGGAGTAGTTGAAGGGTGGAGGTGTATGTGTATGTCCATTTATGGTGATATCGATGTAACGTTGCTTTGCCGTACAGAGGACCACGTGTCCATCACATTAAATGCTCTGACGTTCTGAATTTTGTGTGCCCTCGTACTCCTCGAGTGTATCCATGCTGTTCTCGCCATACAAAACCCTAGGCTTGGCTTTGTCCTTTACAATAACAAAATCGTGAGGATTACCCAATCCGACATGCTTGTTCCCCTTTTCAGAATTTTATTTTATTTTAACCAATAAAGATTTAAGATGTATTTTTTTATTTACAAAGTATTTTTAAAGCAGAAGAGTGATGGGGCTCGTTAGATTCTGTTTTTAATTTTTATATTTTAAAAAAAATTTTATATAATATTTTTTAGAATAAATTTTGGAAATAAAATATTAAAAAATATGTTTAAATTATTATTCTGAAAGACATATTAAAGTGGTGAAATAAAGGTGAAAGACATATTTGATTTATTAACATAATTAGCATTGATAAAAACATGATATTTTCTATATTTTTTTAATTTTACAGAACAAAAAATAAAAAAACACATAAAAAAGATGTTCTATTTCTTTTTTAATTTTCTATAAAAACTTTTAAATTTTTTATTTTTCAAAATAGATAGTAGAAAATACATCTTCAAACATATTTTTTGTTTTTCAAAATGAAAAAAAAATTCTAAAAAGAAATGATTGAATATGACCTTAGAGCTTGTTTGGTTTTTTTTTAAAATTATTTTTAATACAATTTTTAAATTTTTTTGAAAAAAAATAAAATTATGTTTGATTATGTTAATTTAAAAAATTAGAATTAAAAAATAAGTTGATAATGTTGGTTGCGAGCAGTTAATAATAATAGTTTATAATAAAAATTGATTAAACTAACTATTTTTTTCAATAATCAAATAAAATTTGTTTTGAAAACAAGAAAAATAAAATTTTTGGTTGTGATTAGTATAAAAAAAAATTAGTCAAGCTAACTATCTTCTTCAATAATTAAATGAAGAATAAAAATGTTCCTTTTTTAAAAAAAACAAAGAACAAGAATATTTTTAAAAATAATTGAATTCAAAATATTTATATACATAATTTTTTAATCTTTTTCTTTTTAAAAACAAAAAACAGTTTTTCCTGTCCCCCCCAACCACGCCCCGGTTTTTTTTTTTTTTTACTTGTTGGTGCATTCATTAGTCTAACGTAACACTCACGAGGCAACGCATGTTTCTTCAATAATTTCATCTGCCGACAGATCAACTGCGTGTATTGACTGGTCATTATTCAAGCCAGGCTTTCGTCTGCAACCATATGAAATTACAATTAGTTTCATTTGTGATCGAATATAGACATATGTCTTATTTATGAGATACATCTTAAAAGTAATTTTTATTTAAAATATAAAATATTTTATAATTATATTAAATTATTTTTTAATTTTTTATTAACATAAAACTATTTAATATAATTTTATTATGATTTAAAATTAAAGATAAAGATAAAAGTTTATATAATTTTTTTAATAATATAAAAATTATTTTTTTAAACGTGTGAAACGATTAAAAATATTTTATAATAAATATCAGAAAAAATATATAATAAAGGTTATTCTAACCCAAGTTCTCATTTAAATTACTCCCTAATCATTACTAAACACAACTAACTAGTGATAGAAAAGAAAGATGATGAGATTATTGCAATATTGGAATGATATACTCTCTTTATTAAAAAATATAAAATATTTTTTAAGAATTAAATGTTAAAAAATATATGACATTTTTAATCTTTTCAAGTGTAATTATTATTTTTTTAAAAGTATTCTTTTTAAATAAATAAACTTATAATTATTTTAGGATAAAATATTTTTTTAAATATGAATAAATATGAAAAGATATAAAAATCAACTACTTTATTAAAAATAAAATTTAATTAAAAATATATTATATTTTTAAATGAAAAAAATATAACTTTTTTTTATAGCTTGTAGTATAATAAGAAATAAGAAATTAATTAAATATTTGCACTGCGACCATAGTACCAGCACTTTTCAAACCAGAGTGCCTTGCATTGTTATGGCATCGTTGTGGGCCCAACATGTTTGTCTTGGACAAGTAAGGAGAGAATCCAGATGTTTCAGTTCTAAGTTATTTAGACAGTTTTGAGAATATTTAATACCTATTTTTACTTCGCATTAAATTGACGATTTTTTGTTTTGCATGGCATAAGATCTTAAAATTTATCATATTTTACATATCAAATTGTGTTGTATCGGACACATATTCATGTCTGTGCTAACATATATTTGAGACTTTAAAATGATTTTGTATCTTCAATTATCCACCATTTTTTTTTTGTTGAATATGTAAGTTTCAATTTCCACTTGGAATAAAAAAATATTCGCAAGAAGCAAGGGAGGGAAACAAAATAATATTCAAAATGCAACACCATTCTCTCAGGTGTATATACTATATACATATCATTGCTCGCATTTATATAATAAAAAGCCTACTTATATTAAGCAAAACATGCATGCTATGAATTAATAATGGGGGAATTGTACCGTACACAACAACGGTTAATTAATTTTTTCACGTATTTTCAATGTTGCCTCACATCTTCCTTTTTTTTTTTTTATGTATTAGTTAAACAAAGACAACCTGCAAAGATAAAAAAACACTCTTGTTAAATTTTGACAAGATGCCAAACATAAACAAGCTTTATCTCACCATGAAATTACACAAATTACACAATATCATTGTGTTCTATCAATATCCAAGAAGTCATATATTTACATAAATTACACAATATCATTGTATTCTATCAATAATCAAAAAACCATAAGTATACATCTACATAAAATGTATGATATCATTATGTTCTATCAACAATCAAGAAACCATAGATATACCTAACTATGGAATGTATGTGCACGCTTTCCTGATCACTACTATTTTTTGCATTCATTAGCAAGTTTCACATTAGTTTGATGCATAATAGATTAAGAATTGGGATTTTATCTTCAAGTAGATCTAACGTATAGGTGGAGAGAGAGATTATTTTAGTAAACCATTTTTTTACTATTTTTTTCCTCCATTTTCATAATCATAATCATTCATCAAATTTATCGCTAAAATATATTCACTCAATGCAGTGACGTCAATGATTATGATTGATTAGAAAAGTGGAGAGAAAAGGATGATAAGGAAATGGGGTTCTGTGTTCAAGAGTGAGACCCACCAAATTCTCTCTCTACATGTTCCCTCTTTCACCTGAAGATGTTCATATCATTTGGGGCGGAAAAAACCCAAAGAAACAGAAACTAGATTATGATCAGAACTTCATTCTTGAAAAATCCATATTCCACGTGTCAAAAATTAAATACACTAAGGAAAGAAAAGTGTGGACTGTGGAGCTTATATAATACAAGCCCTAGAAAAAAAACTTTTTAGTTCGAACTGTTTACCGTCAATCGTAGACACTCCGTTTTTTTATTATAAACTATCACACGTCTCCTTTTTTTTATAAGCAAAATTATAAATTTTAAGAAATATTTATCATACTTTTCCCATATTACTCCTTATAAAGTCAATATTTATTTTGACAAGACATTTGTTTTATTAATAAGACTAATTTAGTTTTACTTTGTTAATTTCTGACATAATTATTATACTTAACCAACTTTTTAAAACTGTATAAGTTGGTTATTTTTCTCCTATATTTGAAAACAGGAGGAGTATATATATACATATATATATATATATATATTTATATATAACTTGCATGAATGTGAATTCTTAATTATTCTCCCTGTTAATTGTTGACCCTCAGGATGTGTTTTAAGAAAACAAGTAATCACGTAATCTCATGTCTGTCAATAATCAGCTATCTCAAGAGAATTGAATAAATTCTTGCATTTTCTTGACATGCTTGTTCATGAGAAAACTCAAATGAACAGTTAAGTTTGTTACATACTAACCCCAATCTGAGAGAGGTGTCTGAACTATCATCCTCATGAAGAGGATCAGATGTGCTGCCGATAATTGCTGACTCAGATGACTGACCTTGTTTTTGTCCAACTTTCGTCACCTAAACACAAATTTTCCATCTTCAGATTCTTGCCACCAATCTGAAACAATTAATGTTAATTAATTGGACCGGCTGGTTCAACTGGTGAACCTCATGCCTTGGTCCAATCTGAAAATTCTTTCAAAACCGGACTCAAACAGGTCAAAAATTGGTGAAAACTAATTTTTCCTTTAACATACATATATTATGAATTAATATGTATATAAAATGTAATGGACGTTGCATTGTTCGTAATTAAGGAGCTTTGAACAGTGAAGCATCTAACTAATATAAGGCAAAGATGTAATTGCACTTAAAGCATATTAACTATCATTCATTAAGAACCATAAATTAAAGTGGATTAATATTACACAATAACTAGGACCAGAAAGAGGTTCAAAGAACTTATAAAGCATGTTAATTTAATGATGAATGGTTTGACCTTGAATCAGTTATGGTCTAATCGATGAAGCTTGGATTAGGGACTTAATCGTTTTAACACTGATTTATTATGCAAATAATTCAAAACACGGATCACCTGTTTCAATCTCTGATTCTCCTCCATCAGCTGGATTCCCTGCACGGACAAGGAAGCATTCTCAGAGAAGCTAAGTACTAATTGTCCTATACATCTCTGTGAATGAGATGGCCTGGCAGACTAGTTCTTCACTGACTACAATTTACTGTAAATCATTTCTCTCTTTCTCCCCTCTATGGCTCTATCTTGCTCACTCTCTTCATTAATATTTAAGGAGCGAATAATTGAGATGCATATGCACAAGGAAAATTAATCATTTGACTCCTACAGTTTTGATTGATTTAGTTACAACTCAATCATTAAAGTTTAACAAAGTTCAATTTAGTCTCAGATGTTTCAGCCATTTAATAATTTGGTCCCTATACTTTCAAAAAATATCAAGCTCTTCAAGGATTAAGTTGTAACTGAAGCATTAAGTGTAGGGATCAACAAATTAAATGATTAAAACTTGAGAAACTGAGTTGTATTGAATTAAATTTCAAAAATTGAGTTGCAATTGATTCAAAATTACAAGGTAAATGATTAATTTTCCATATTTAAGTTGTTTAGTTCTCAAATATTAGAAATATCAATCCATAGAAGTTTTAGAACAAACAATATGATATTTATTCTTTATGAATAAAATATTATTTTTTTAGGATTAATTAACCAAGTAATTGAGACATATCTTTTAAAGGCATAAAACTATTAGATTTTTCCTCAATTACATAAATATCAAATTCTCTATCTTAATCTTGTCCCTTATTATTAACCTTCAAGATAATTTCCAATAATTTAGCACTGCTACTCAGTTAGGTTTAATCTTTCCTCCGCAGAGGCAGGCCATCATATATATGAAAACATTTCATGGATATAGAGTTTTTTGTCCCTTTTTTGGCATGACATCAACTAAATATAATTATTTCTCCTGTACATTATTGTCATTTTCTTTTCAAACATCAAACAATAACAAAAATATACATCAGCCTTCACTAATTAGGTTTGGAATGTATTTCACCTTTCTCTTGAGCGCATTGATCTCTTTCATAATTATTTCTTCCTGTAAAACCACCAAGTACCGTATGTTGTGAAGATTAGTAACTTTAACTTCTATAAAGTAATTTTAAATGCAAAAAACTTTGAAATGCAAGAATTAATCCAGATAAGAAATTTCAATAATTACAAATGGAACGGCTCAAAAACAAAATGAGGGTTCAATCACTTATAATATCAAGGTTAAAAAAAAGCAAAAAGCTTCAAAGTTATTACTTAATGCTATTGCTTCATATGTTATTTAATTTCAAACTCTTTCATAATTGACATGATGAGCTTTTGAGCTCTTGAGATCAACATGTCGTTTGAAGAACTTGTTTAAGGACATATAGCAATATTTTGATTTATGAAAGTGTAAAAATCTATTTGCCATATCACTTCAAAATTTCTTTGGTGCTCTTTCCTTAGGATACATGCAAACAGGAATGTAGTACATGCCCGCGGATCCCTTCATTATAATTATAAATGTGAAGGATACATTCCAATTGGACTTGACAATATTCAAATCTAATCTATCAGATGATTCGAATTAGATGTATCCCTGTGAGATCAGATCCGAATTTGTAGTGCAGCAAGGGGCAAAGTGCAAACCTTAGCTTTGACAACACGGCTCAAACCTTTTTCTAATTGTTCTTCAAGCTTCTGTAATTCATTCGTGTTCAATCCTTCAAGCTCTTCGCCCTTCAACTTCCTTTCAATTATTATAAGGTATAGCCCTCCCCTCAGTAATATATGATATTATAAATCTATCATATGGAAGGCACAAAATAAAAGCTTCACAATTATAATATTGTACATTTACAAAAATTTATATACCTCAGTTCCTGAACCTTATTGGCTTCTTCCATGCTGAGCATGCTGAAGGTTTCCTTTTCATACTATGCATAAAATTCCCAAGAGATTTCCATAAGTTCAGTACTAATGAATTTCAGGTTAAGCAAAGTGAATGATGTAATTCTGTAGAAACACAATCTTTTATCGTTATTTTATTATACATTGGAATGGCATCTATTGAAGGAAAAATGATAGAAAATCGTTTAAGATGGTTTAAACATACTCACAAAAGAACATAAGAGGCACTAACGAGAAGAGTGGAATGAATAATCTCGAATCCAACAAAAAAGGGTAAATGAAGATCAAAGAGAATACTTATAGAAGATATTGATCGAAACCTCTTAGTTAATGATATTCATAAAAGTTTGGTTGATGATAAAATACAAAAGCATCATACAATTCATGTAGCCAACCACACCTAATGGAATAAGATTTGTCTTCATTGTTGTTGAACTTAAAGCTTTTTTCTTTTTATAGGGTCAAACCAGGCACGGCCTATAAAAAATCCTATCCATGTATCAAACCAAGATTAGGTCCTTTGAAAGTCACATCTTAGGAATTATTTTTATTTACATAATTGAGCATTGCACTGAAAAAATAATAGATGATTAGAAGTGAATTTTCATTTCACTATAGCTAAGTTAGCAGCTTATGCATCTTATCGAATTCCCAATACTTCATTATTATTGCTACTCCTTTATAAATTAAATAATCGTATTACTTGGAAAAGAGAAAATCTAGGTAATTAAACAAATAATCAAGAAACTTGAGAAGCTATAAGTTTTGTGAAATCCTAGAGAACAGAACCAACGTACTAGCCAGGACAATTCGATAGAAACAATTTATATATCTATTTATATTATAAAAGCTCTTATATGCTGCACCGTGAAGGGTGACTTATTTTTTAGGCTAAATGTAATGCATGACATCGCACTCGTTTACATTATTTAAAGCAGTAAACAGAGCGAAAATATTGAGAAAAAAATATAATTAAAAACAATTATGCAGAATGATCTTACCAAAATGGATGAATGGTATAATCTTTCAATTTCTGAGTGCTGATTGTGCCTTTCGATAACCTGCTGCACACTATTAAGAACCGAAAACACAGCGTGTTCATGAAATCTTACACCTACCAGTATACTGTTAGTATTTAAGGTTCTTCAGGAGAATAACACAGTATAACACACGCCCGCACACGCACATATTATCCAGCCGCTTGAATCATTCTATTTTCATTAAGTTCCGGCATAAGCACAATCATTTCAAATTCAAGCTTCTTTAAACTCTGCAGCGATAGCCATATTGAACAATTTTGCGTGACTAAAATTAAATGAGCAGCAAAAATAAAAGTTGTACGTTAAAAGCAGTAATTATGCAATCAAATGCAAGCCTCAGCAATGCAACCAAAATTATATATATATATATATATAATATAAAGTATTCAATCCGACTTCATGTTAAAGATTAATCATCTTAAAATGATGTAGAGAATGGCAACTCTTTAAACCAGTAATGCGGAGAAATGATGTAAATACCTTGCATTAATTGCGTCTTTAATTCATGATATAATGGTGGAAATATTCTAGTTTTTTTTTTGGGGGTTCTCAGTGAAAAGAGGGGGGAAAAAGACCCAAACACTACCCTATATAGTGACTTACGTTTTGATCAAAATATCTCCAGACACAAAATCATTCACGATTACAATTATGCTATGTTTGGATACATATAGATTTGGATTTGAATTTGAGCCAAATCCATTATTTGAATAATTAAAAATATATGGATTTGGATCCAAATCCAAGTTCTACCTTAATTTCTTTATAATTTAAAATTTTTTCTAAACCCCTATTATTTTAAATCATAACTCAATCTCTTTTGTAATTTAACCCAAATCCATTAAGATTTGATCTACTTACCAACGATAATTGGATCAAACCGCTGAAGTTGACAAAAACAAGCTGCCACCGTTGACTGGAACTAGACAATCGACTTTCATTGGGACCAAATTGACGACGACGACAAGGACCAAACGGCCGACTTCCACCTTAACCAGACCAATGACAACCACTCAAACCGGACGGTCGACTTCCACGGAGATCAGACTGACGGCAATGACGGTCGACTTCCATCTAGATTGAATCGACGGCAACCATCAAGATTGGACAACCGACTTCAATCGAGACCAAATTGATGGCGACGATGAGGACCCGACGACTAACTTCTACCAGGACTAGACCGTTGGCCACGACGAGGACCCAACAGCCGACTTCCATATAGTCCAATCTCAATGGATGTCAACCGTCCGATTTTGGTGGAAGTTGGTTGTTCTATCCCGGTTGTCCTTGTCGGTTTGGTCACGTTGGACATTGTTGGTCCGATCTAGGCTATCGTCGTCAGTATGGTCCCATTGAAAGTCAGCCGTTAGGTCCCAATCACCGTCGTCGATCCAATCTCTGTGGAAGTTAGCCATCAGATCTAAGTAGAAGGCGGCCATATGGTCCCCGTGGTAGCCGACGGTCCGGTCCAAGTAAAAGTCGGCAATCCAATCCTCATGATTGCTGTTGGTTCGATCCCAATGGAAGGCCACTATGCTATTAGCATCATCGCCATTAGTCCAGTCTGGTGGAAGTCCAGCCTCCGATCTGAGTCGTTGCCGGTGCTATAGTCCCAATCAGCTTTTACTGTCTAATCTCGATGGAAATTAGCCATTTGAACCATCAACTTTAACCAGTCTTCCAAGTTTCTTTGAAATTTAAGTATAGAACTTAAAATTTGAAATTTTACCTTAAATCCAAACAAAGGATTTAATATTATAATTTAAAATTTCATATATCATCCAAACAAAAAATTTAGAATTTATAAATTTTAAATGAGATTTTAAATTTAAATTCTTAACTTAAATCCACCCATCCAAACACAACCTTAACGGATTTAAGATGAGTAAAAAGGATAACAAGAAAGAGTTTCCTTAATCTATGAGTTTCCAGTGTTTCTAATCAATTTAATCATGGTAATTTTCAAAGCTTGTCTGCAGAAATGAAGACTACCGTATCCAAGAACAAAAGCTTCAAAATTCAGTGTATTGAATCGGACTATTATAACTCTTCGACGGGAAAATTAATAGATCTCCTATATATAATTCAAAGGGGCGTTTTAACTTTGATATCATCAACAAAGATTTGGGATAATTTTCCAAATCTCACAAAGTAGTTTCAGAATTTTGCTTCCCTTCTTAAATATTTTGAACTTCACTTACTTTTACAACCGGGGTAGATTTCATCCCAAGCAAGTTTCAGTACTTATGCATGTGTGGGCATGACAAATGTCTCAACTACTCATGCAAATATAGAAATTTAAAGTTCACAAATTTACTGTGATGTCAGAGCTTACTATATCAATGCGTTGAGTGTAATGCCATTATTATATCTAAATGAACATCCAGAAAGAGCTTTCTCTTCTGAAAACTAATCATGTTTGTGAATCAGATATTACCCTAAGCACCATCTTTTTCTCAAGCAAGCTCAACACTAAACAATTCTATTTCTTAAATGGTCAAAAGGTCTCATTCAAAATAAAGCATCCTTTTGTCCAGTGGCTTTTATACTTGCATTACTCTATAATATATGACAACGAAGATACATACAGACAGGCATGTTGGACATGAATTAACTATAACATACATGACACCACGTTGGCTTTATCTTTGCAGTTAGATATCAAAACAATAAATGAATAGTTTGTAAAGTGACTTTCCTCTGTTATGATGAAAGAGAGAGACATATATATTGGATTATGCCAGAACCTTAGGTTCAGAGTTTTGAAAATATATTTCTCAAGTCTGTGTTATTCATAGAGTCAAGGTTACAATTAATCAACAGAACTGAATAGGGAGGGTTCTCATAACAAGCAAGTCAGCCAAGATGATGACGATGATTATAAAAATTTCTAAAAAGAAAGAGCTACAAATTAAATCCATCATGAGGATTGCAAACAGTGTTTTACAGAAATAAACGCTGATGAGATTCTCTAGCAAGCACGTTCGTAGTAAATCTCCTGTTAGTCTAGATTAATGAGCCTAAAATAAAAATTAAAATAATAAGCACAAGTACACGATCTGCGAATGTTCAGATACGTATGAAAATTAAACAAATAGTTACCTGGAAAAAAGCATTCAACTGTACATCATTAAGGTGAGGAAAAGGAAACTAAAAGAAGAGAGAAGGAGAGACCTTGAGCTACCATATTCAAAGAGCTTGCCAGTAGCAGAAAAGACTATGAGAGCAATCTCAGCATCACAGAGAGTAGCAAGTTCATGAGCCTTCTTGAATAGCCCTCTTCTTCTCTTTGAAAACGTTACTTGCCTCGCTGTTATGTTATCGATCTTCTTTATTTCTATCTTCTGCCTTGTCATTTCCTTATTAAGCAAAAATAGACCCAAAAATCAGGAAAAGAATTCAGACTCTCAAGGAAAAATAAAAAATTACCAAATATTTTGTGACAAAAAAAGGAATATTAGTGTCCAATCAGTAAAAGGAAATGCAGTGGATCATAACTCTCTCCCAAATAGAAGTAGAAAATCAATATCTCAGATCCATTAAGCAATACAGAAAACTAATCTTAGAAAAGAAGTGAGGAGAAACCTTGAAGAACACAGAGGACTTTCAATCAGAAAGAGCTGATGAATCTTACTGTGAAACACCAGAGAGTTCAGAACTAAACAAGAAGAAAAAGAATAAGAAGAAAAGGGTTGGGAAAGAGAAAGAGAATGGGAATATTACAGGAAAAGAAAATTAAAGGAGGAAATTAGTTGTCTAAAAGAGGAAATGCAAGATTGCAAGAAAAAGGATGATGCTTACCGGCCAAGAATCAGGAATCAACCCTAGCTGAAAAGTAAGCCTAGGTAAGGGTGTGATGAAGATGAACCCCACCTAAGCGAACAAACAGAGAGAGAGAGAGAGAGAGGAGGCATGTGGACATGTGGTGTGGGAGGGGTAGGAACCGAACTTTTTACTGAAAGAAGGATAATTGCTCGTTATGGGGCGGCAACTTTTTTCGTTTCATTTCCTTTTGTGGCTTTTGGACTTAATAGTGAGAGATAGTGGCAAATGCACTCCGCCCGACGCAACAGTGCAAACACCATCCAATGAATTGCTCGGGGAGATGTAAAACCCAACTTATATATAAAAACAAGTTAAGTTCGGTTATTAAGAGTATTTATAAGGTCAGTTTGGTTTAATTTTGAGTAAAAATCTAACTAATTGATTTACTATAGTTTGAAATCTATTTGGTTTTTTTATCTAATCAGTTTGTTTTGATTTTTGATCTAGCTGCTGGTTTGATTTTGTTTACATTTAGATTAAACTTAAACTTTTTATACAATATTTTTTATAATTATCAATATATATTCATGTTCACGTTGATAATTATAAACTATTAATTACTGTTCACAATGAAAAAAACTATTGAACACAAAAGAATATTTTTTAACAATTAACTAGCATATATAACCATTAAAAATTAATATATTATCTTTAGACAACTTGATTATAAAATTAAAAATTATCAAAAAAATTGTAGATAACATTTAGCTAATTGTAACATATTTTTACCAATGATTTGGAAATAATCAAACTTGGGAAAGGAAAAAAAACTTATGCAAATTTATTAAAATACATATAATAAATATAATTAAAATTGGTTTCGTTTAGTTTAAGTTTTCAGAAATAAAAAACTAAATCAATTGATTTTGCCCAAAAAAAAAACAAAGCAAACATTATTTATAATTGATTTTGATTGGTTCATATTGGTTTGGTTTGATTTAATTTGATGCAATTAGTTTGAATTGGTTTTGAACTGTTTTATAGAAAATGACACTTTAAGACCAAACAAACATATGATATTAAAATTCTAAGATGGCAAGATTTTAAAAGGATAATGATGATTAAGTCTCAAGGACATGAATTAATGATAAGTTAAGTTTTTGATAAATTTTTTTTGAAAAAATAGTTACAAACATCAATTTAAGTAATTGTAAATTCAAGAGTTTAAATTATAAATAAAACATATATTTAAATTCTAAATATAAATATTATTTTTTAATTTGTAACAATTTGAGAAAAATTAGTCAAGAATCTAACTATCACTAATTTCTCGTTTAAGACTTTATTGTTATTCTCCCTATTTTAAAGAAAAAATTAAGAACCTTAATCCTTTATTGATAATTAAAAAGTCAAAAGGTCAAAATGTTTTCTTCACATAAAAGGAAAAAAAAAATAGCAACAAGCTAAAGAAGATGAGTAACTAATTTTGTTATATACTTAGTATTTTTACAAATTTAAATATGAAATAGCATTGTAATCGGTGTATTCAATCCTCTAATACTTGTTGAGTCCTCCGAAAAGTGATGTCACCCTAAAGGATATATTTTTCTTCATAATAGGGTTTGCTGCATCTTAATTTCCATAAGAACTAATGGAAAGGAAAAGAAATTAAAGCATTAAATATATGGGGCTTGATTGAAACTGTCTTTGTTTTATTATGTTGAAAATTGATTAAAATATATTCTGAAAACAAAATAAATAATGAAAATATGTTTTTTTTCTCATTCTTCCTTATTTTCTTAAACAATAATCCCAAAATATCTAAATAATTTCAAAACACTTTTTAAAAACACATTATCAAATAATTTTTTTTATTTTGAAAAACAGAAAATTATTTCCAAAACAAATTTCTAAATAGGCATGGTATTTTTAATAGCTGGTGCACTGGACTTTTCTAGCCTTAGTACATTTATAAATTAAATAATGTGCATATAAAAGTTAAAAGACTTACAACTTACAAATAAAAAGACACATCTTTTGATCAAAACGGGCCAAGCTAGGCCTAATGAGTCAAACTCTTTAAAGCTTTGACATGTCAGCAATTAATTTAGTTGATGTCCAAAAAAACAAATTAACTAAGTTTCTGCCTCAAAAAAATAATAATTAAGTAAGTCTAAATTGTACCTCCAAAAAAATGAAGTCTAAATCAATTTTGTAGTTTAGGGCCGACTTAGTTTATTATAGGATGATTTTTTGCTTCAATTGTTATTATTTTAAAAAATTAAATTGAATATATTAACATTTGATAATGTTTTATTAACATTTAAAAGTTTAATGCTAAAGTTTTTTCAATAAAATTAATAGTGTTAGGGTTAAAAGATTGAAAAGATACTTATAAAAATTAATAAACTGAAATAAAATCTTATGTAAAACTAAATGACCAAATGTGTCCTTTTACGTTGTATTTTTTAATATGTATGTAAATACTATAAAAGACATACTCCCTTTAGTCTTATAAGTAAAACAAATTGGATTTGATTGAGTAAAAATAAAAAAAAAGTGAATTTAATAATATGTAATTAAATTCTTAATCCATCAAACCACTAGTGTAAAAAGCAACATATTAGTATGGGATAATTAGATATATGTTTATTCTAATTACAAATTAAATGAAAATCCAATCCCCTATTTCTTAATTTAATGGTTTCAATGAGATTTTCCTTTGTTAAGGAAAAATCATATTCAATGGTGGTCAAGAATTAAATGGACATTCAAACACAAGATTGAGTAATCAAAAATTAACTTTAAGCATAACCAATAGATAAAAAAGAGTCCAATCCATCAATAAGTTTATAGCTCTTCTAAATTTAAAGAGAATTAGCCACACATAGCTTTGAAGATAACAAAAATCAATAAACTATACATCTAAACAAAGAAGAGAAGGAGAATACAAACTTAATTGGAGTGATTTTAAATAAAAACCACTAATCTCCCATGACACCTAAACTCCACCTCATCCATGGCTTCTTCACTCTCTCTTGGATGTTCCTTGGCTACCGGCGATGAAAAATAACAAGGTCCAACCTTCAAAACTCTAAAAACATCAGTTTTTAACAAAAGCAATGTGTTTCACTAAATGATGATTATGCTACAGTACATTTGTGTCACACTGCAGCATAAGACCATTTTGTTGTTGTCCTTGGCTATTATGCTCTAGCATGTAGCGAGAACATTGTGGCATATATGCTCTACCAATGATGCCGTCTTTTATTTCCCTCTTTCTCAACATTAAATGCGCCACAGACACAAAACAGAAAAGTCACATTCCAAGGAAATTAATCACTGCTTCTAACGGAGCCTTTTTCCTCATGTGAACACTGTCATTTTCAGACAAAAAGGGTCCCAAAAAGTTATATTGTATAAACTTTAAAAATTATAGACAATAACCTAAAAAATAACAAAAAATGATAAAACAATTAATAAATTTTTTTTATTATTTATGAGATCATTTTCTGTCATTTACTGGTCAACTAATGACAAGTTAAAGTTAACTTTTCTTGATTATAAGAGCTACATTGCATTGTTTCAAAAATTTGAAGGAGAACATTACACAAAAGACATATTTAAGATTCCAAACACACTTGGACCTATAATTTAAAGCCCAATTTACTCTTTTATCCCATATGATATATATGCATCTCTATTTACTTGTCCTGACTTGCATCTTCATTTTGCCCCTAAATATGTCCTGGTCCAAATTTTGAGGTATAATTATTATTTGTTTTCAATAATACCCCTGTTAAATGGAGGGCAAACCTGGAATAGAAAAAATAATTCTTACGTTGCACATAGATTTTTTTTCTATGAGGACAAGTAAATAGTGACGGAGGAATTATAGTTTAAATAAACTAATTCAATTATGACTTGTTCAACAGAAGTTAAACCATCAACAGGCCGATAAACTTTAAGTCAATATCTTAACCAGTCCAACGCCCAGTCTAATTTTATAAACATTGGAAATGACAGACATTAACGATTTAAAATGCAAATACTTCAAAATGTTGATCACCTGTTTTAATCGCTGATTCTCTTCCATCAACTGGATTCTCTACGCGTATAAAACAAGTAGCATTTTAAGAGAAGTGAGCGTACATAAAGCTAGATATGATGTAGTTTTAATACCTATGGACTAAATAATGAACACACGCACACAAGGAATACACAATTCAACCCATAGAAGTCTTAGACTCGCTATTCTAGTCCACATGGTGCATATTTTAATGGATATTTTTACTTGAGATAATGAAACTTTTGATCCTTCAAATTTGCCTTAATTATTGACTAGGTCCTTAAAATTTAATTTTTATTAAGCAAGTCTCTAAAGTTTCATAATCACTGACAAAAAGGCCCAAAGGTTTAAAGGGGAAATAATACTATAAGGACTAATTATGTATGCTTATGAAACTTTAAGGACTTAATTAAATATAGATTAAACTTCAAGTGCCAAATTGATAACTAAGGCAAACTTGAAGAACCAAAAAACTCATTATCCTTTTTTATTTTTATTCGGTCAAATTTTCCGTAGCAGAATCATGTAGTTGTCAGATTTGAAGACTAAATAGGTATTCTTAATTCAAGAAATTGATAAATAGTTTTATTTAAGATTAAGGGACCAAACATTGAGACATATCTTTCCGAGGCCAAAAGCAACATTAATTTCTACTAATTACACTGAATTTGGTGGTATTTACAAGTGTCTTGGATTCAAATTGAGAACATTCACTATCCTTGCTCCAAGAACACAAAATGGAAAAATGATTCAAATTCTACATGCATGAATGGCAAAGGGTAGGAAAGTTTTTGATGATGATAATTTTCTTTTCAAGCTTAAAGAAGTTGTAACTAAACAAACATAAATGAGATTTCAACAATTATGTTTTGAATGTGATTGACCTTTATCTGCAGCGCATGGATCTCTTTCAACATCATTTCATCCTTTATTTTTCAGGGAATAACATGAGAAGGACCTGCGAGAATAGTGGAATGAATAATCTTAAACCTTATTAAGAGAGATAAATAAAGACAAAAAAGAACATTTATAAAAGTTGTTGATTGAAACTTCTTAATAACATTCATAAAAGCTTGGTTGATGATAAAACA